ACTATGGCTGCCCGTGATATATATATATATATATATATATATATACACACTTGTAATATCTGTATGTTGTTTGTATGCCCGATCATAACTCAGGAAATCCCAAACTAGTATGAATGCAAAAAGGTTAAAAAATCTGTCATAAAATGCCAAGTATATTCTTTATTCAAACGTGATAAATGTAATTCTTGATAGAATTAAGTAAAACAGTTCAAGGCGTAAACTTTGCAATCCGCAAATTCAGTTATGTTGCATGTGCAAATTCAATGTTACAATATTATAAATTAAATATTTTAAAATTGCAATTACATTTTTTAATATTTTAAATACTCGAAATGCCACGGTCTTAAATCATGAGATATTCAATCTGCATTATTCTGCTCGTAGAAAAATGTAACTTTTAATTGTTTCTTTTCTTAATCTTTTTATAAGTTTTATTTTTATATTTGCCTACAGTGGTTGGCGTTCATATTAATACAATGAAGATGAGTTTTCTAATTAAGTTTTGATTTATAGCAAGCTTTTTTATATTATTTGTTTTTATGTGCACGTGTATCCATGCGGTTTAAAAGCTTGGTTTAGGTAAAAATTGAAATCGAAATTCGTGTTGATAGTAATAATATATATTAATATAATAGTATTAATATATATACGAGGACTCCTTTATTGCAAATCTTATATTTGATTTCGACTTATCTCGGTTGCGAACCAGAATACATTTGAATGATCGTCGTCATGTCAAAATTTTGATTATGAAATTATGAAATTATGAAATGTCGCGTTTGAAAAACATTTTTTGTCGCTAATCTTGAATGCTAATCTTGATATTGAAGGGAACTTCTAAAATTTGAGAATCTATGCTTGATTTCTCAACATTAAAATTTTCCTTAGCAAGTATGACCACCACAGGATATCAAAGATCAATTAATCCGTATATCTACATAAGGTGGAGATCAATGCTTGGCCCTGATAATCACAACTTTTGACTTCTGTATATCTTTTAGAGATACACGAGTTTCTTGCAAATGAAAGAGAAGCAACAAATTTATTCCTGTATTTTCTGGTTCTCACTGTGTCATTAACTTCTTCTATAAGAAAATGTCAAGTTTTTTTGTTTTTTTTCAAAAATATTTTTTTTTATCCGCCATCATGTAAATAATTGATAAATGAATGAATAAGACCGGAAACCACAAATGAAGAACATTTATGTAGATAGATAAAGTACAAGAAGCGTAACATACGCATTTACATTATTCATACGCATTTAATTATATTATTCATATGCACGTATAATAATACCTATAACACTTTGTTTAGGCCTGCAAATGCAAACTTCACAGTTATTAAAGGAACTAACTTTTGAACCTTTAAACTGATGAATAATGTAGAAGATAACTTCGTTGGTTTTAGTTTAAAGAGTGTTTAATTCTGGTTATTTCTCCAAGGTTTTTCCCGCAGTTACAGTGTGCATGTCACTTTTGTAAAAAGAAACCACAATTGAAAATGATAACTTGATAAAATTACAGTCTCTTAAAGCTTAGTCACAAACTATACAACTGTGGGCAGTGGAGACATTTTTTAAATTAACAATTCTATCAAAATAGAATAAACAGACGATATTTAAACAAAATAATTACGAATCAGGCCCATTTTTATTGATTCCTAACTTCAAAGCTTAAAATCTGTAAAGATGTTGAGCCAGAATCCAATTTTGAGTACGTTTTTCTGCTTAAGTATGACTTAGATATCCATGTTTTAATCTGCATTGCTTCTCTAATTATAAAGTCTGGCGCATTTCTTGCCTCAGCAACAATGGAGAAAATGTCAACCCAGAATAACGACGTTATCTTCAACATTTTTGATAGCAATGAATCAGGCCCCTTTTCAAAGAAGGGTCCCTTGAAATTACGACTACAGTTCCTTTTATTTTCAAATCAACATTTGTAAAATCCTTAAAAAAGCTAATTTTTTACCTTAAAAGAATTAAACAATTATCTTGAATGTCAAATATAACGGGATGTGCAATTACGACCGACCACTTTTGCATGTTATATGATGTACACCATGAATTAATAAAATAATTATCTTCAATACAATGTGTCACAAAAAATATCGTAAAAATATAAGCTTGCATTACAAGTTTTGTATGTCTTTTTTTCATTCCTTATTAAATTAAAACTAGAATTTGTTCAAAATGTTTATTTTTGATTATTTTCTGAGTTTTGATGGACAATATTGTGACATCTTAACAATTGAAGGTATAAATAGTTGTGAATTATGGATTTAGATTAGTTAAACTTTGTTCATTAAATAATGCAGTTATATTGTGTGTTCAGTAGCATACCGATCTACAAAATTATTATTATTTTAGAAGGATATCTTGGCAAACCTTTGCTGATGGGTTATCTTACCAATTACATTCTTATAAGACTAATTAACAAATATTTAAAACTATTTTCTGTAATTTCAACATTGTCAAAATTCTTTAACGCGATAAAGAAAACCAAATGATTGGTGTCAATTTGACAAAAATAAACATCAAAAATAAATTTAAGGTTTTTAAAAAGTGACAAGAGTTAAAGAGAGTTTACATTTTCCTCAGTGACCTTAACGTAACACAACACAGTAGCGTAAGATAAAGCAATTTCATTCCGTGTGAAAAAAAATACGTTTCAAAGAGACTGATAAAGTGTATATTGTAGACATACTTTTAAAGTGATCCTGTAGAACAAGTGTCATGTCTGATTCTCAATGGTATCCATTAAACATTTCAAATTTATTCTTTTTTAGATAAATAAAGGTTCAATTACTTACTATTTATCTATATAGGTACTTAGAAATCGAATTATTTATATAGTTTTGCATTGTGCATCTACATATCTATCTGTCTATCTATCTATCTATCTATCTATCCAACTATAAATCTATCTAACTATCTAACTATCTGATAATTATCATCTCGTTAACTCTTATCTCGCCCCAGTTTAAGTATTCAGTAGAGGTGGAAAAATCGTTTTAAATTCGACCTTGTTACAGGTCAATATTTAGATTAGCAGGCAGATTAGATATATAGATAGATAAATTAGATAGATATATTAGATAGATAGACAAATAGGTAGATAGATAGATAGATAGATAGATAGATAGATAGATAGATAGATAGATAGATAGATAGATAGATAGATAGATATATTAGATAGATAGATAGATAGATAGATAGATAGATAGATGGATAGATTTTCAATTAATAGAATAGATAGTCAGATAATACATATAGATTTAATGTTTAGATAGATAGATAGTTCCTTTATATTACAAGTTAGATACATTTTAATTCTACATATCTCACTGATCAACAGGGTTAAATATTATTTACAAAAATAGAACAATATCAAATTAAAGTTTCTTTGTAAAATAAAAAAAGAATTTATACTTTTATGCAAATCTTTAAATATAAAAAAAATAGATTAAATAGACTCCCTGGAATTCATTAAATGCGACGATATAATGACCTTCGATGTGAAGCTATATATAATTAGAACAGAAGTATGCATTATATATACATACATTGATAAAATTTGTATATGATAATTTCTTCTTTAAATGTTCAAATATTACACCCCACTGTAAACTAAAGTAAATTGCCACGTTAAATTAAAGTAAATTGCAGGTTAAACTAAAGTAAATTATTCTACGTTAAATTAAAGTAAATTGCCCACGTTAAACTGAAGTAAATTGTCACGTTAAACTAAAGTAAATTGTCACTTTAAACTAAAGTAGATTATTTCACGTTTAGCTAAAATAAATTGTCACGTTGAACTAAAGTAAATTATTCTACGTTAAATTAAAGTAAATTGCCCACGTTAAACTAAAGTAAATTGCCACGTTAAATTAAATTAAATTGCCCACGTTAAACTAAAGTAAATTGTCACGTTAAACTAAAGTAAATTGCAAGTAAGATTAAAATCATAAATGTTTTCAGCCATAAATCCTCTCATTTAAGAGCTATTGAGAAGAATAAAACTATTTTCATAACCATTAGTAGCCGGATAAACTTGCTCTTCTGAAACTTCTGCGTAAGAGGAGAAACGTGGTCCCAAAGTCGCATAAAATATGTCTCTGTCCAGTTTTATATTTGTTTAAACCCAAACATCTGATCAAAGAATGTAAACAATTTTATTTTTAGAAAAAAATTTTATTCTTTTCTTTACACATTTTAAATTTGAGAAGTAATTTCAAATGATTTATTACTCACCTCTTCTTAAAAAGTTGTTCATATACAATTATCTGTATTTTATGCTTTTTGTAAAACTGTAAATATTTAATTGCAATCAATGATTAATTGTTTTAAGATATTCGACCTTCAGACCTTCAGCAAACAGAAACCTTTTCATTTTTATTATTATCCATGTAATATCAAGAAAACCTGCATTCATAGATGGTAATACCTGATTCACAACGGTACCCTTAAAAGCCTTGTCTGATTAAGTATGAATTAAGTATAAATCTTTACAATTGTGAAATCGTAATCTTGTGTGTCGGTGGTTTCTTGCGCATTTCTAGTGCAGAAAACATTTAAAAATTATCAGATAGATTCAAACACTTTTAAACTTAGACTTTTGATGTTTCAAACAATGAATTCTGTTAGATCAAATATTTCAAATTTGCTATATAAAAAATTAGCACCATTTTAGTTCAAAGATAAAAGGAATAGACAATTTGAGTTTGCCGCAAACACGGGCAGCCGTAGTACATTTGAATTTCCGAGCCGGGTCAATCTTTCTGGTCCCAGTTTGTACTGTATCGCCCGAACATTGGACTAGCCGGTGCAACAAGGTTGACGCGGTCAGACTTTAAGTTGAGTTTACTTTTACTAAAGGGTCAGAGGTCTGTGCAAAAGAACTCATGCAATTCCTTTGAATTCTTGTCTATCTCGATACAAACCCAAAACATTTTTAGCTTTAGATATTAAATCCAATTTGCAATCTTTTACATTCTTTTTCAGATCAATATTGAAATTGTTGAGAAAGAAATATAATGTTAAAAACAGTCTGTTGTGCCATATTAGGTTCAATCTTCAGAAAATTTTAACTTTAAAAATTTTAAATATTTTTTTTTAAAAATGTTTGAATTAATTTTTTTTACTTTTTTAAAGTTTGACATTCGATGAAAAGCATCCGCAGATGTCAATTTTTGACAAATGTTATAAATATATTCTACTTTTATATTTTCAATCTGAATCTGAATTTACAGTTGGGCTGACTTCGGCAATACAAAATGTTTTTGAAGAAGTGGCTCCACCGAATTTCAGGTAAATGACTTTTTTATACCTTCTCAATAAAAAGCAAATTTCTTTTCATAAACTTTATATCACTGCGAACCAAAATCACTCTGAGCCGTAGTAAATTTGAATTCGAACAGGACCTGCCCAGTTTGTACCGGCCTGCCAAATAACAGCGTGTACTGACCCGATCCTATGACCATATTCTTTACAATACGTCGCCCTAACCAGACTAACATACGACAGGGGTCAATTTTCTTGGCATAGTCCCGTCGGAGGACTATGGCGCGTTCAAACTTTTTACAGTACCCGGCCTAATCCTAGGCCTATTTGACCGACCCCACTGGCTTAGTCCATCGTGAAATAAGGGTAATATAAATTTCTATATATAAAGTCGTAATCTGTGTTTGTCTGTTAGGATGTTTGTATGTTCGATCACAACTCAGATACCCCTCACGTGAATTTAATGGTTCTGTCAATATTCCAGAAAGCTATGACTTTCGATCACAATTACTCCTATTAAACATAATTTTTCAGCCTTCTTTCTTAAATACTTTTTTGTCGGCATATACGTTTTGAATAAAAAGTATTTAACAAACAAATCCGTAACTTTAAAGATTGTTAAAACAAGTATGATTTCAAATTGAAGAAACCGAATGCCTCTAATTCTGGTTAGTCTGGGGTGCCCTTGACCGATTGGCCTCAAATTTTGATTAAGGAACTCGGGAGAACCACGGGAATGTTCTTAGATTGGTTTTGAGATTCTAATTGAAGTGGGTCCACTTTTATAGGGACATTTAGCTAAAATCGTAATTTACGACCAAGCGCGGGTAAACAGTGGGAGTAACTATGAGAGTACCCTGGGCAATGCTGGGTTCTCAACCTAAAATAACCTTTTTTTCAGCAGCACCCCTGATCATGATAACAGTCCCTGGGAATCCCCCGGACCACCATATTCAAGTTTTCAGGTATATTTTTATTTTTAAAGAAGTTTTTATCCTAAAAGGAAAAATGGATGACAGAAAATGTAAACCCATGTTGAAACATATTCTAGAGTCTCGATATTAAGAAAAAGAGAGAATCAAGCATTAATCTCGATATCCTATCCACCATTCTAAAGTTTCAGCTCAGATTAAATATTGCTTGGTTTCCTCTTGTTAACTTATTAACCAATCGGGATCAAGGATATCCCATTATTTTTGAATTTTATTAAATATGTTTATTTAGAAGGAATCAGAGGACAAAATTAGACTCCCGCGAACACTTCATCAACAGGTTTATTAGTCTAATTTTTTTCTCTATTTTCCCACCCAATCCTTTCCTTTTCTCTCTTTCCTCTTATTCTCATTTTTCCATTTTCATTTTCCCTGTTTCCTCTTCTTTTATTTTCCCCTTATACAAATATTTGTCCAGGTGTTAAATGAAAGGAAAACCCTCCCCGGAGCTTTTCTTCCCGGCCTAGGAATTGTCAGGTAAATAAAGTTTTATTTCCCGGTTAGCAGGGATGTAAAGTTTACTTTACAGCCTTCTCAGAAAATTCTCAAAAATGTCTTTTTCTGCTTTAAACTAAAAAAAAATTATATAATGATATATTTTTGTTATTAATTATATTTTCTTTTTTAGAAATTTTAAATCCAACATCGATTCTTCTAGGAACATTCGACAGTCAAGGTAGTTTTGCTTCTGTCATATCAGGGTTATCCACAAAAGATGAGACTATAAAGACGACCTGAAACTCTAAAATAATTACGATCTTAAGCCCAAGGGATTAAGTTTTCTGTCTTGTATTTAAATACTTTCAAAAAGTCTTTCAAGGCTTATTAATGATTAGTCAAAGAAAGTTATAAGGAATCATAGTTTAAAGTTACAAGTGGATTTAACATGCGCGTAATTGCGGGCCCTGTAATTTTATCGCAATGCCGCACTATTCCGTATAATACAAGAACAGTTGCGTCAAATTCCGCGCAACGGAATTCCTAGTTACAAGAAATCAAAAATATTTAATATCTAGAAAACAAGTATATATTCCGTACAGTCGTCTCTGAAGTCTCATTCTTTGTTGGTAACCCTGTACATTGATTCAAACAAATGATTTGATCATGTTTACATGTTTATACAGTATCTAAATAATGATTATTGAACCTTAACGAATTTGTTCACACTTTTAATCTTATAATTAGTCTCAAAATTAAAGTACAACAACCTTCCCTCAGGATATTATGCAGTTTTTCATGATCAACACATCAGAACAGCAAAATAGATTGGTTTGTTCTCAACTTATATGAAGCAGATTTCTTGCAATAAACTCTTATCCCTATATCTTTGCAACCTGATGGTGGGAACATTTGAAATATCATTGATAATTTTTACTTTTAGAGCATAGTTAAAAGAAACGAGAAAAAGTAAAAAAGTGGTGGTTAATATAAACCCTACCCTTGTATGTTTTTTATAATAAGTCAAAAACAAAACAAGTTTTAAATATAAGCAATTTTATTATTTTTTTCTGTTCTAGTGGAGTAGACAGTGGGTTGGAGCCAGTCATTTTAGACAACTCTATTATTATTATTATTATCATCAGTGTGCTGGATGATCAAAGTATAATTGACGATGTTGGAAATATCGTCAGCTTCACAGCTGACACCAGTTCCCCTGTTGTCGGCAGCGCTATTAGGGATTTGTCAGCGGTGCTGGAAGAAAATACTTTGTCAGCAGAAGATGTTGATATATTAACCCCCAGTAGTGTCAGCTTGAGAGGAGACACGCCTCCTGCCGCTCTCAGGTGAGACGGGAGAGGCGGTTCATTTTAATTTCAGAACTATCTTACCGCTTGTTTACCCGTTTAAAGGGACTGTAAGCGTAATTTTTAAATGATCCTCCATTTAAAGATGGCTATGCCGATTTACAATGTTACCCTTAAAACCTTTATCTGATCAATAATGCAGAAGACATAGTTGTTTTCTAGATTTAAAAGTGTTTAATTCGAATAATTTTTTCATAGCTTCTTATGAGCAAAAAATGCGCAGAGAAACCGCAAATGAAAATAAACATTTTAAAGAAACAAAAACATAAAGTTTTAAATTGGGCTTTCCCATCTTGACATGGAGGGTCAATTACAATTGTGCTTAGAGTCCTTTATCAAGATTGCGTGACTATTCAATTGTATCTCTTTCTTTTCTAACCTAACTGTTTAGTTAGTGTATTATATTAAATTTTTGAAAAATAACATGCAAGACAGCACTAGTTTGATTTCAATTAATAATGGCTTTAAAAAAAAGAAAATCTTTTAAAGAAAACAGATTGATATTTCAATCAGAGAAATGTAAAAAATAAAATAAAAATAAATAAGAAAAGAGGGGTTAAAACATGAAAAGATATTTTGAAAACAGAAAAAGAAATGTTACAAAATTGAATAAGAAGAGAACCAGATGTTCAAAACAAGAAGATTAATGACAGTATTTTATTTTTGCTCTTTTTCAGGAAATCCGATGAAAAATGCGAATATATTCAAATGAAAGGCGGAGTTTTAGGTAAAATTAAAAATAAGAAACAATTTAAAAAAAAAAAAAATTAAAAATTGTCAATGGTATCCTTTATTCTAAATGTTGGAGATTTTGTAGTTTTTTTTTTAAGTGCGAATTTTGAACACTTTCCTCGATTAGTTGAACCACCGCAGCCGGTTCAACTACTTATCTAGTCAGGATCAAATTCTGAATCACCGATACGTGGTTGAACCACTTCTTCCAATTCATTATATTCGGTTAATATACTGCCATATCATTAATATAAATATATTAATTAATATTAGTCATCAACAATATCAATAATTAAATCTTATTTCATTTAGGCAATTATTGAAATTCATTTTTTAATTTTATCAACTCTTTCAGATTTGTTGTGTATTTAATAAATTGTTAAAGGAGGCAATAATAGAAAACATACAAAAATAGAGACTATGGGAATCTAATAATAGAAAACATAAAAAAAAGAGACTATGGGAATCTAATAGAGACTATGGGAATCTAATAATTCTAAAAAAGAGATATTTATTTTATATTTATGGAGGGGTGGATTTTTTTGCATTTTTTTAACAAATAAACTGTTAATCTTATGCGAACATTGAATAAAAATAGGTTTAATCTGCGTAAAAGATAAATAATTTATTTGGCAAATTATGAGAATATTTTTAGGAGATAACTGTATGAAAGGAGGAATGAGTTGTGAAAGAAAATGCAGTTTTGAAATGTCTCCACCAGAGTGCACTGAAGTAAGTATGTTTACTTTCTTAAAAAGACTGAAAGCACAATTTAAAGTGACCCTCCATTTCAAGATAGAAATACCCGGTTTCGAATGACACCTTTTAAACCTTTAATTATCTGATTAAAATTATGAAAGAAAACATCGTTTTTCTTAGACGAAAATTGTAGTTAACTTTGATAATTTCTTCATCGTGTTTCTTTTTGAGCAAGATATGCGCAAGTCCTTTCCTAAAATTCCCTATTGACATTTAATACAGTATACATACATTGACAGGTTGAGGAGACTGTGTGTGAGGATGTGCCCGTGGACCGGTGTGAGATGGTGATGGACAAGTCCTGCAAGACGGTCCAGGAGGAGGTCTGTGACAACCCTCAAGACCCCGACATCATGCAAGAGTAAGATTTATTTCAACAAATAGAAAATGTTAGATTCTTCTTGATTAAAGGGACAGTCAACGTAATTTCAAGTGACCCTCCGCACAAAGATTTATACCTATACCCTTGAAACCATAATCTGATCAATAATTTTGAAGACATTATCATTGTTCATTGTCCAAAAGTGTTAATTCCTGATAATTTTAATTTGTTTTCCTGAAGAGAAAATGCGCAAGTTCCTGTAGTAGAAAACCCACAATTTAGAAATAATTAGTTTTCTGAATTATATAAACATTGATATCTAATTGATCAGACAATCTTTAAGAGTACCCTTGTAAATCGGACATTGCCATCTTTGCATAGAGGGTTACTTAGAATTACTCACCCTTTCAATTAGAAATATACGACCTCCTCTGAATAATGAAAAAAAATATGTTTTTTAATACTTTTCAACAAATTTCTTTTGTGCCGAGTCATTTATATATTAATATTTATGTCAAGTTTGATACCAGCAATGATTTTGCAAATATGTTTACATAATATTTGCAACCTTATTATTTGTGCAAAATAATGTGCTACGTTTTCATCATTGTTATAGTAAACTAAATCAGTGACGTAAATGAAATAATATTTTGTTTAAAGATGTGACGTCATACTTGAAGAGAAATGTACAACGGTTGAAGACTCTGTGTGCAGGTGATAAACACTTTATACCAATTTATAAAATATTCTCAAATATATTGCTAATTGCTTAGTACTTGTACTGTTAAAATAATTATAATTTGTAACAGTAAACTGGTTCTGTACACAGATACATGTATTTTAGCAATAAACTTTATCTATCTATTTTCGTTACTTTTGCTCCAAAAAACTATCAGTTACAAATCTTTAATCTAGTTCTCTTGCCAGAATAAAAAAAACTATCAATTCCAAATCTTTAATCTAGTTCTCTTGCCAGAATGAAAAACTATCAATTACAAATCTTTAATCTAGTTCTCTTGCCAGAATAAAAAACTATCAATTACAAATCTTTAATCTAGTTCTCTTGCCAGAATAAAAAACTATCAATTACAAATCTTTAATCTAGTTCTCTTGCCAGAATAAAAAACTTTGCAAATGACTTCCCCAAAAAAAGTTCATTTGTTCAGTCTTTTTAGATTTTAAAAAGTTAAATGTTCATTTTTCATTTTAAATCAAACTTCATTTACAGTCCGAAATTTTGTTCTGTATACCACTTTTCCTTTGGAACCACTGCACTGTACAGTGTACACTGTACAGTACTTTAATGTATTGTGCTGTAGGAACACTACTAAGATGGCGTGTACAACAGTTGACAAAGAGGCTTGTACAACACTCAAAGAACAGGTAATTGTTTAAATTTTATGTACATTGTACATATCAAAAATAATAAATATACGAGCATATTTTTTTTCAACAACCGTCGAAACCAATGGATACATTTTGTTGTGGGAATCTGACTTGAGCAAAATTGGATGGATTGGGGTTAAAAAATCTAATCGTCATCTACTTTGGATTTTTTAAACAAAATATCTCCAAAAATTTAATTTTGATCCTTAAATTGGCATGTTCTTATGTATAACTAGCTGAAGAGGCCGGCGTTGCCCGTAGAAAAAAATTAAATTTTTTTTAAAAGTCAAATTTTTTAGCCTACATACATCCCCCGCCTCCAATGAGTGTCCACAAAAATATCAGCCCAATCGCTCCAGCCGTCTGACCGGCTATACGCAACATATATACGAATGTCTTGTTATATTAAATAGATATAATATAACATAAATTTTGTTTGGAAAAGTTGAAAAAGTTGCAAAAATAAACAAAATGTGGTAAACTAATGCATATTCCTGACTGTTTTCTATCCTTGAAACTGTAAATGACCTAAAAGTTGAAACCAAGTAAATAGGTTGTTTATGGTTCAAACCTTTTACAGAGAATATTTTCTTAGTGGTTGACCTTAGTTAAAACCCATAAATCTATCTATCTATCTATCTATCTATCTATCTATCTATCTATCTATCTATCTATCTATCTATCTATCTATCTATCTATCTATCTATCTATATCTATCTATCTATCTATCTATCTATCTATCTATCTATCTATCTATCTATCTATCTATCTATCTATCTATCTATCTATCTATCTATCTATATATGCATGATTCTATATCCCTATGCCTCATTATCAGTCTATAAACAAATGCCCTAAGGATAAGATTTAAATGTATTGATTTTATCGTTTTATCAGGTCAAGGTGAGATTTCAAATTATCTGGTTTTAAAGCATGGACACTTTATTTTTATAGTACATGACTGGTACATGACTGTACATGACTGGTACATGACTGTACATGACTGGTACATGACTGGTACATGACTGGTACGATTTTGCGACCTCGTAGTTTCTATAGTTTCTATTTTAATCATAAGTTGCAAATAAGAAGTTCAAAACATTTTTGACTTCTCCAGAACTGTTTTATCAAAGCGAGTTATGATTAAAAACCTATAATTGATCTTACGTGCAAAATACTGTTGTTTGAAGTAACAAAATATTGTTCTCCCAAATATCTATCTATCAAACTAGGACACAAATTTTTTCCAAAAAAATTATTTGCATATTTTGGTTACTTTTTTCGAATTAAAATAAATTGATTTGATTTTTTTCTTACCATTTTCTTTAAAAGCTTGTGCTGTTTAAAGACAAATACTTTAAAAAAACGAATCTTTTTAATCATTCAGAGAAAATGTAGATTTTCATAACTTTAGTTTTTACTGGACCAGTTATATTTTATAATAAGATTGCTATATCACGGTGATTCTGAATTTCATGGCTTAATCATATCACATAAATTACGCTTCATTTGGTGTACTGTTCCGTTTTGCCTGGTATTGTCTGTATGTGTATTGTGTACCGTACAGCTTGTAGCTGGTTAGATGTTGGTCCGGTTCTTGAAATGAACCGGACTACACCGTGATATAGCTAGTGTTTTACACATAGAGAATATATATATATTAGATGAGAATTTAAAGAATCTCTCGGTATGAATTTTTTCAGTCCCTTTCAGCCTGAAAGAGAGTTCAAAGTGTACAAATCATGTAAATGTTCACAAATTATATGCAGTAGTGTACATTAATACAGAATGTTCCCTAGACTATTCATTTCCATTTCGAATTTTTAAAGCTGTTAAATAAACTTTATAATGAGTTAGGTGAATAAAAAACATCATTTGATTTATAGTTATAACGGAAAATCATCGTTTGTAAAGTGGAAGGCATAGAGTCTATGTGAAATGATCATTGGTCAATTCATGAAACCAGCCTATTTCATAATTTGGTTTTCTCTTAATATTAATTTTAGATTTTCGATAAAATGATGTTCCAGGGCCCAAAAGGTTATATGGCATAAATATGTGAAGTACACCTGCAGTATGAAATGGAAACAGTACAACAAAATGGCCGTTTTACACTTTTTTCTAGTAAATTCCCTACTAATATATATTCTATTCTCTTTGGTTTTACAAATCCCTTCCATCCATTTTTGTTATTTTTTATCTATCAACCTTCCTTTATCTATATATATATGTAACTTTTAATCTGTTCTTCTTATTATCTATCTATTATTTATCAATATATATCTATCACATATCTCCATGTCCCTTCTATTTATCTTTGTAACATTCTATGTTTTTACATGAAATATACTTATTTCTACTTTTATGTCATCCAAGGTGTGTAATCTATCTATCTATTATCTATCAATATATATCCGTCAGAAATTTCCATGTCCCTTCTATTTATCTTTGTAACATTCTTTATTTTTTACATGAAATATACTTATTTTTACCTTTATCTAATCTATCTATCTATTTATCTCCCAATGTAACCTTCTATCTATCTTTCTATCTTTCTGAATAAAGACAAGGCTAAAATTAAGTCTGACCATGATCCTGTATCTACTGAATACCTTCAGGGGGGAGTAAACATTTAGATCGTGCTAACATCTATCTTTTTTATCATCAACTAATAATACACTTTCATAACTTCTCAATTCAATATGTTTAAAACTAAGATGGTGGGGTGGGGGGACATCACTGCACAAATATATACATTTAACTGTGCTTAGTCATTATTTTCATAATTAGATTCAACACTACTTTCACTTCTTCAAAAAACTTTTATTTAAATTTTTTGTTGTTTTAAAAGGTCACAAAAAACAGTATTAAATGTGTTAAATAGTGTTTACTAAATACATTCTGATTAGGTATAAGAAGATATTATCTCATGTTTGTTAAATCTCCCTATGTCGTGTGATTTATAGACTAAACTACAGGTGTTAGGAAGGGATGATTTGATGAAATATCAGAAGATCTGTTTAGTTACAGTAACATATTGTCTAAACAATCAAAATAAAGAAAAATATAACAAGTTTTTAGTGCATATCTGAACAATCTGAATGAAATGGGACTGAATTCAAAGAATTTGAGTTATGTCTTTGAACTACCTAGCACCAATTCAAATCTTGAATCACCGGTCATCATGAGTATTTGAATTGGTGATTCAGGATTTGAACTGACGCCGTGAGGTACTCAGGAGGTAGTGGCCTCTCCAATTCGGTCCATGGTCATATAAACTGGGGGTTTAAGGGGTTGAGGTCAGGTTTCCATTATTATAAAGCAGAACGCAGCACGTGGACTTGTTAATATTTCAGAAACCTGTGACTTTGACCCATTAAACATAACTGCTTAGCCTTTTTTCTTAAATACATTTTTGTCGGCATCTACATTTTGAATGGAAAAGCACAGCATAAACAAATCTGTAAGTTTAAAGAGTGTTGAATTAAATGGACTAAAACACATTTGATTACAAATAAAAGAAACCGAATGCTTTTCACTCTGGTTTGTCAGGGGGGTGGCAGTAACCCTTCATTTCAAGACTTTGATGCCAAATTCATAATGTTACCATGCTTCTACCTTTGTCGGAGTAAAACTGATGAAGTTAAAGATATCCAAATTTTTCTATCCGAAAACTGATATTTTTGAACTGTGGTTTCTCTAAAAATGATGTGCAGGAGATATATAGAAGAATAAAAAATAGTTTATGCCTTTTCAATGTAGAACACGACGATGTTATCCTCTTTTTTGCTTAAATTACGTGAACTGTCCCTTTAATTCTCATAATTGTATATATTATAATAAGGTTTGTCGACCCAGTGGAGACTCTAACTGTCGACAAGTTACAGACCGAGTTTGTAATCTAGTGCAGGATGTCGTGTGTCGGAATATTACAGAAAATAGGTAATATTACAGAAAATAGGTAAAATTACAGAAAATAGGTAATATTAGAGAAAATAGGTAATATTAAAGAAAATAGGTAATATTACAGAAAACAGGTTATATTACAGAAAATAGGTAATATTACAGAAAATAGGTTAATATTACAGAAAATAGGTAATATTAAAGAAAATAGGTAATATTACAGAAAATAGGTAATATTACAGAAAATATGTAATATTACAGAAAATAGGTAATATTAAAAAAAATTTGTAATATTAGAGAAAACAGGTAATATTAAAGAAAATAGGTAATATTACAGAAAATAGGTAATATGACAGAAAATTGGTAATATTACAGAAAATAGGTAATATTAAAGAAAATTGGTAATATTACAGAAAATAGGTAATATTACAGAAAATAGGTAATATTACAGAAAACAGGTAATATTACAGAAAATAGGTAATATTACAGAAAACAGGTAATATTACAGAAAATAGCTAATATTACAGAAAATTGGTAATATTACAGAAAAGAGATAATGTAACAAAAACGATGTAATATTATAAAAAAGCAGGTAAAATTACAAAAATAGGTAACATAATTGTCTACAGAACTGGGTATCTACCTATATACCTAGCTATTTAACTGTTGAATGCAATGAACTGTACAAATGAGAATGATATTGCTATAAATTCTTTAACAATGATCTAAGGACATTGATGAAATTATATTACTATGCGAATTATACTTTTTTATATATACTTAAACATTGTATACAAATACTTTTCACGTGAATTCGAGATTTCACAGAGACATTTAATGAATTTTGTATTGAATATAATCATTGTTGACTATATGAAAATGTATAGAAGCAAAATAGAATGTTGAGATTAACACTGTTATATCTTTAAAAAAATTCTATAGGTTTGAGGAAAAATGTTGGACAATTGAAGAAGAGGTCTGTAAAACGGTTTATGATACAGTTTGGGAAAATAAGGTAAATTTTTAATATATTTTGGAAAAATAAGGTAAATTTATGATACAGATTGGGAAAATAAGGTAAATTTATAATACAGTTTGGGAAAATAAGATAAATTTATGGTACATTTTGAAAAAATAAGGTAAATTTATGGTACATTTTGAAAAAATAAGGTAAAATTATGATACAGTTTGGGAAAATAGGGTAAATTTATGATACAGATTGGGAAAATAAGGTAAATTTATTATACAAATTGGAAAAATAAGGTAAATTTATGATACAGGTTGGGAAAAATATGATTAAATTTATGATACATTTTGGGAGAATAATAAGTAAAGCTTTTATACAGCTTGGGAAAATAATTTAAATTTACGATAAAGGAAACCCAAGGTAAATTTATAATAATAATAATATCAATAATAATAATACTTACAATGATGAGTGTCAAATTGGTACAAATTTAGCTTAATAAAATGCCTATATTTTTTTACGATAATTTTATTGCCACAAACTTAAATTTTCTAATATCTATATCTGTACAGCCTGCTGGTGTAAAACTTTAATAATTAAAGGCAGCTTAGCGTATTTGATCTAACAGAATTCATATTTTCAAATATCTAAGGTCCATGACATTCTGTTCCAAAGATGTAGGGATTAGAAAACCACAGTTTGTGGCAAAAAATTCAATTTCTTGTTGTTAGCAATAATGTATAGCTAGCAGAGCTGTTTTATTTTTGAAATACAAATTCTCCTAAATGCAATTATTTCAAAGTCAGGATGAAAAGATAAAGGGATTAGAGATTTAACATTTTCACGAGGAATCACTATAAAGGTTTGAAAATTAACAAAGTAAATATTATGTTACTTTAACAGAAGCATCAAACACAAACCTAATAATAAGCTTGATGCAATTTTATTCTAATCTTTTAATTTCTCTTGAAATCCGCCTGTTTAGTGTGAAATGGTGAATATTACTGTCCCTCAGAGAGATTGCAATGTCAAGGAAACTTTTGAGATGGAGGAGAGGTAAATATTGTTGTTGCAACCTCTTTTGTTAAAGGGACTGTATTTTTCATGTGTTCAATTTTAATTATTTTCTGCATTGTCTCTATATAATAATTATATTATAAGTGAACTTACATAGAATCCACAATTTAAAAATTATCAATAACATTTCAGTTCAAAAATTAGGGATGTCTCAACCATCCGTGATCAGAAGAAAGTGTTGAAATTCCGTTGCCAGTTTCTTTCAAGTTTAATTTGAAAACTCAAACATATTTACTATACAGATGCGAGATAGTGAATGCTACCTCAACTATATTTACTATACAGATGCGAGATAGTGAATGCTACCTCAACTATATTTACTATACAGATGCGAGATAGTGAATGCTACCTCAACTATGCCTATCTGTGTAACAGTTAAGGATCAGATTAGTGAGGAGGTAAGCAGACACATAGTCAGATAGACAGATAGACACATAGACACATAGACACATAGACAGATAGACAGATAGACAGATAGACAGATAGACAGATATACAGATAGACAGATAGACAGATAGACAGATAGACAGATAGACAGATAGTCAGATAGACAGATAGACAGATAGACAGATAGACAGATAGACAGATAGACAGATAGACAGATAGACATATTGATAGACAGACAGATAGATAGATAGACAGAGAGACAGAAAGACCGATAGACAGATAGACAATTAGATAGGCACATAGATAGCTTAGATAGATAGATAGACGGATATAACAGATAGATAGGAAGATAGATAGCTTAGATGAATAGATAGATAGATAGTCAGTTAGATAATTAATAATAATTCAAATAATCTATTTATTTAATATTAAAGGATTGTGAGACGGTAGAACCCTCAGACCTGTGTTTTGAGCAGTCCTGTACAGACATATCCGTTCCTACTTTCAGAAAAGAATGCAGGCAATGGTTTTTCTCCGATATAAATCCGCGAAGACGATTTTAAAACCGGTTTTTCATAATTCATAATTCTTGATTTTAAGAATGTTAGTATCTAATATATAAAATTAGATACTTCTTAAAGGGACTTTCGTTGAAATTTTAAGCGAACGTCAATTTGAAAAGAGGAGTATGCCTCATTCTCACAACGGGTCCCTTTAAGTCGTTGTGAAAATTAAAAACATGGATATATATTCTTGATATACTTGATATACTTGATATACTTGATCAAACAAAGCTTTTGTAATTACGTCTACAGTTACTTTAATATGATCTTTTTTACAGAGAAGTTCCCCAAGAGATGTGTGAAGTTGTGATTGAACAAACAATGGACAAGAAGTGTACAGACGTAGAACAAACAGAATACAGGTGACGCCATATTGGTTTTTCAGCTGATTTTGAAACTGAAACTTTTATCCGCCATCTTCTTCACTCAATGTGCAGTTACATATTCTGTAGTGTAGATGGCAGTTAGTTCTCTCATTGTTTTTTTTTATCAAAAACAGTATTAAAAATATTCAAAAATATTAATAAACTTTTTTTCAGTGAGGAATGCACTTCAGTTGTAGAGAAGGAATGTACATCAAAAGAGGTATGTGAATAGTATAAATGGTGTAGTTTTTTTTTCATTATTCACTGTTAAGTCAAGTTTTGACTCTAAAATTGTATGTCTTATTCATAACTGCTAACGGATACAGTTTGAATCAGACATGCCATAAATATACTGTAGGGAAACATGTAGGAATTAGCAGAAATAAACATGTTTAAACCTAGACAATATTTTCTATATTATTGATCGCCATAGTTTGAGTAGAAGTAAATATTTCCATTTACTGATAGCGCCGATTGAAGGAATCATAACTCTAATTGGATAATGAGATAGATAGAAAGATAGATGTTACCCCCATACTATTTCTATTGGTTCAGAATAGACAACAAACACATGACTGAACACAGGAGTGTGATTATTTCTAATTAAGGAGCTTGAATGTGAAGAGACCCCAGTTTCTCCCGATACAGGATACGGAGTTCCACAGGTAATATTCTATATTCTTGCTCCAACTTTATTTCTCAATTTTACCGACTAGGAACATAGACTTTGACATCATTATTCATCCATTTTTATACATTCAGGGAATTGCGTGGCGTACAGGAGACTCTAATAAATATGAAATGTCTAACATAAAATCAAAAGCAAAATCAATCGTTTGGTTTGATAAATAATTTATGCATTTTTTTCTGCCCGGGTCAACAAAAATAGCTAAATTAATTGTTTGTCACCAAACACTTTGAAAAATTATTTAGGTTACTTTTTTATGCCATGGTTGACATTCTGCACAGCAAACTTTAACACTTTACAATTTTTAAATATGTCAAACTTCTCCAAAAAAAACTAAATGTTTAAAAAACAATGGAAAACAATGCCAAACTCTTATCAGAGCTGCATGATCTTAGACTTTGACAAATCATAGAAATATTTGGACTTACAGAAGAACGAAGGAAGGGGCGATTCTTTTGTCAATATTAGATCATGATATTTACTAGTTGCAGCAAACTTCTATTAAATCAACTATTTTTCTTCAACTGATATTTGCATGTACACGATATTTATTAAAACGGACAATTGACAATGTATTAACAAACCCATTAACGATGTATTAACATTATTAGCATGTTTCAATCTTCCCAATAGGTTTCATTTGTTATTGAGAGACCAAACATGTAAGCAGCAGAAAGTACCTCACATATCTTATAAGCAGGTGGACAAATGCTTTTTCTTTTGCTATTTAGTTTTTATTTACTTTTCTTTACTTTCTCTTCTCTTTTCTTTCTTTCTTTCTTTCCTTTCATCTCAAAAATATCATATTTTCCTTCTAATTTTCGAATTTTCAATTACATTATGCAAGATAGAAAGTTAAACCATATTTTACATACTTTTTGTGTTGTTTATTAAAACATATTTTGTTAGGCTGAGGTATTGACCACATCACAGTTCGCTCGAACACCAAAACAGGTATTTACATTTTACAGCACTAAAAACTCATTTAAAGCAACAGTATAACTTTTGCACAGTGTGCTATACATGCAAAACAGGAAAACACACCAAATCAAACATTGATCTCCAGCTTGGAAGCCTTACGGATTGATCAACTCTTTTTCGATAACCCTTGGTGATCTTACCATGCAGGGGAGTACTAAGAATTAGATGTGCCCACATCTAATATCAAGATCAAGTGTTTCAGATTGGTACTCTGGACAAAAGTTTGAATCTCTGAAATGGCAACTTTTGTGAGGAATTAGATTGTAAAAGATCCAATCTCTGTTGGTATTTCATCTTATATTGATTGAATTCAGGTTTCTGGTGGATTTGGAAGCAGGGTTGGAGAACGTTGGAGAAGGAAAAGTATTCTTAGGTAATATTTTTTTTGTGACAGGGCCGAGAAGATGATGATCGTTTAAAAAGATTGTTTAGAACATAAAAATAGCATTGTAAAGAAAGTGGTTGTTACCAACAAAACACTCATGTTATATACTTTTTACTGAAAACTGAATTATACAGAACAACTGGTGAAAAATGATATTTAAAAAATGGGTGGAGGAGATTTTCCAAAAAAAAATATTCGCCCCTTTTTAAATATTTTTTTTATAAGCCCTGCTATTTGTAAAAACCTTAATAGAATAGGGTAAGTGTAAAGGTGGGATTTTTTCATAAACAGTCTTGATGGAAAAAAAATCGAGAAAAAACGATCCTTTTAATTGTTAATTTTTCTAAAGGATAGTTTTGAAACACAAAATTGTAACTTTGCACTTTAAACTATATAGATTGAAGTCCCAGTCTAAGGAAAGCTAGACGGAAACTTAGAAAATCAATTTTTAGATGTTTTTGATTTATTTAAAAATAGCTACTCATGGGTTGGGACTAATCCCAATACAGTGTTTACGCTAAAAGGGCCCCTGAATTTTAATAGAGAATTCCCAAAACCTAATTTTCCTAGATGGGAGTGAATGGCATCAATTAAACACACAATTTTGTTTAAACACATATCTAGAATTATTGCAGCCAGATATCAATTTTTTTAATCTTTTTTAAAATGTTAAATGAGAAACCATAAAAATATGAATATCATGTTATCATGCTGCTGTTGATGTGATGCTTTTCAGCAAGTGTTTGAGTCTTTCTCTCTCTAGAAGCACCAATTAATCAACTTAATTATAAACTCCATTCCATTGGAGCTTAAGCATTTTTCTTTTTTGTTCGGTTGTTTTAACATTTATGAAATGGTTCAGTTGTGGGAAAAAAATAAACCTCCTAAATTATAAAATTAAAAGCATCCAAAGAGATCTAAATCCCCTTAAAATATTTCCACTGAAGCCTCTGATTTTTAAAACTTAAATTTCCAATGATTTATAAAAGTTATCAATGATTTGTTGATTGTTTTCCTGGATCCAGTTTTTGATGTTGTTGTCCATGATATTTGTGTAGACAGCTGGAATATCCGTGTTACAGCTGAACCCATAGTTGACCAAACCTGGTCAATTAATATGGATTAAAAAAGGCAAAAATACATTGATATAGGTAGAAAGTTTCTGAAGAAAAACTAGAGCAGCAAAGTTGGTATGTGCATTAGAACATTTTAAAATTTATTTGTTAGCGGTTAGACAAATTAGTACAAAAGAGGTCAGAAATTGTGAATATCAGAATAGCTCATTCTTCTCCATGTTGTGCAGACCTATGAACTGTTTTAATCCCTTCTAATATCCCTTGGTGGTCATACCTGGCAGGGATAACTTAAATTAAAGAATCAAGCCTTTATTCTCAAAATCAAAAGTGCCCACATTGGAAATCAAAATCAAGCATTTAAAATGGCCTTTGCAGCTTGGATCTTTTTGAATGGAGAGTTACTTGAAATTACAAATACAGTCACTTGGATAGCTACATGTTAACTACGATATATAGAATTATATTTACCCACTACAAAATACTGATCCAGCTGTTTGTCCAGGCATACAAGTGGAGCCCCTCCCTCTCCTTGGCATGTATCCTTCCCTATTTCTCCACCTGATAGTAGCCGTTGTGAAAGATTCTCAAATTTAGTGAAATAAGTTAAAAGCTAGAAATCATAATGACAATATGGTGCCAAAATTTTAATAATGAGCCCTTATTATTCAAAAGCATAACAAAGTTTTCCCGATATCTGTGATATCCACTAAATATTTAATTACCTGCGCAGATCTCGCTGGAATGAGGAGACCAGTTAGGGCGACCCTAAAACATGGTTTAAAAAGCTGAGGACCTTTCATGAGGAAAAACATCTGATGGGAGCAAACTCATGGTTTACCAACATCCACCACCTGATTTATACTATAGTCCAAGAATTCCAGGGGGGGGGGGTGTAAGAAGACTATTGCCCCTCCTCCACTGACGCTTCTGCTTGAAATCATTTTACCTTTGATTGAAATATTGGGCCAAGTCTTGATTGGCATTCATCAGCTGATAGAAGTGGCAGATCAATTTCTCTCTGACGGACAAGATCCTTACCCCAGGCCGCAACCCAACAGTTATCAGATTTCTCTGTAAAAGGCAGGGGTTAGCTGATCTTAAGCAGAAAACAAAATAAGTTGCTCTTTTTCCCCACAAATGTGTGTTGGACAGGACTTGAAGGACCTCTTACTTGATGTTTTACGATTGACTTGTCATTTATATAGTTCTTAACTTTATATAGATTGCTAGAGTAGCCAATGTTTCAGTCTTACCCCATGAGATTTCAAAAGAACCTATGTCATAGTCCATGTCAAGGCACAGTTAGATATTATGCAACATTATAATATGATTTACTGAAATCTCTTAAAGTTTGCAATGTTTGAAGAAGCTCTGGTGGCTTTGACATTAAACATCCTACGTAACATTGTCTCTAAATCTTGCTTACCATTGAACTGAGATGAGCTTGTAGGCAAGCAAACTGAATTGTACCCAACAGGATCACTGAAAACAAATAGTAAAAAAGATTAAAAATTTGCTGAAATTCTTTGTTGAGATAATGAGTTAGAGAGGATTAGAGAAAACACTTTACCCATTTTGTCCAGCGCGAATATTTACAATACTCTTGATGGAGTTTACTGGAGTCTTTGCTGCTCCAAGCTTGAGGACAGCGACATTATTTGCAAGAGAATCTGCTGGATCAGCCTAAATTCATAATTAGCTTTATTTTGGATGCCTTAACCAATAGTTTCTTATTAAAAACGCTGTTGGCCATGGAACAGTTGCAATAATTTTTGAACTTCTATGGCTTAGATCTTTACTTAGATCAGATATGTTAAAATAACGTAACAGACATGTCCATTACCTTCCATTTATAACACAAAACTGAACTTTTGTAGTGAGTTAATCAGTTTAATTAGTTTAATAGCAGAATTTATTTGTTTTTTGAAAAAGTAGCAGTGCTTTCATAGTTTTTATCCCTTTTTATTCATAATTTTATTGTATTAATGAGTTAAAGTTGATAACCTCCATTAAAAGGAACCCACAAATGTCAATTACCTGAGGGTGTGGCTTGATACATCTAACAGAAAACTCAGTGTAGTCCCATTCCTCCTGTTAGAGTGATAAAAATTGAATTATCAAATTTTTTAAAAATTTTACTTTGAAATTACCTCTGGAACTTTTCCATTCGGATCCCAGTCTCCTAATAAAAAAAGTGTCAAAGTTTTTTATACTTCCTTTGTTGCTTGCTTAATTGTAATCCTTTACCTAGTCTAACAATGAGGTTTTGGGGGGAACTGATTAAATTTTGAACTTTATGAAGAACAGTTATGACAGTGTCCTAGAAAAAATAATTACTTAAACTAGATACTGTACCAAGGGGTTGTCAAGACCAATTTTGCTTGCTAAACATCCAGAGTGCAGTAAAATTTGTTAACGGAACTTATTGGTTAGTAAAATTCCCTGTAACTTTAAATATTTATTTTAATTAAGGGATGTGGGCACAAATAAAAACGACATATTAGTAAACCTATTTCCAGTTTGTTATTGAAGTCTTTCTATAATTTGTTTTACTCAAGATTGATTAAAAGACCTGTACCCTAACTTTTTGTGTTGTCTTAATTACTTGACTATGGGTGTACACTATTAACCATAGGGAACACTTGTTTTATGCGGACTGATCTTGCATACTAGTTTTCCTTAATCTTAACTATTGAGTTTGGATAAACAATAATGATTTCTGTTAAACACATTTGTGTTAAGTTACTATAATGACTTAAAGAAAATTGGAACTTCAGACACAATTGAGTTGTGTCCTTTTGTCCTTTTCTCTATCTGGAACTTCAGACACAATTAAGTTGTGTACTTCTGCCCTTTTCTCCTTCTGGAACTTCAGACACAATTGAGATGTGTCCTTATGTACTTTTCTCCTTCTGGAACTTCAGACACAATTGAGTTGTGTCCTTCTGTCCTTTTCTCTGTCAGGAACTTCAGACACAATTGAGATGTGTCCTTCTGCCCTTTTCTCCTTCTAGAACTTCAGACACAATTGAGTTGTGTCCTTCTGTCCTTTTCTCCGTCTGGAACTTCTGACACAATTGAGTTGTGTCCATCGGCCTTTTTATCCATCTGGAACTTCAGACACAATTGAGTTGTGTCTTTCTGTCCTTTTCTACATCTGGAACTTCAGACACAATTGAGATGTGTCCTTCTGTCCTTTCCTCCATCCGGAACTTCAGACACAATTGAGATGTGTCCTTCTGTCCTTTTCTCCATCCGGAACTTCAGACACAATTGAGATGTGCCCTTCTGTCCTTTTCTCCATCTGGAACTTCAGACACAATTGAGATGTGTCCTTCTGTCCTATTCTCCATCTGGAACTTCAGACACAATTGAGATGTGTCCTTTTGTCCTTTTATCCGTCTGGAACTTCAGACACAATTAATTTGTGTCCTTTTGTCCTTTTCTCCGTCTGGAACTTCAGACACAATTGAGTTGTGTCCTTCTGTCCTTTTCTCCGTCTAACATTTTTTAAAACAAATTTATCATTCATTTTTTGAGTTTCTCTGTCTGTTTTCTTATGTCTATTCTTTCCTTCCATGTTTTGTAAACTCTGGGTTCTCTGGCTCTGTTAGAAAGTCTCTCTCATATTCTCCTATTTCTTACTTCCTTGTGCTATCCTTCCTGTACTTTGATTGGATCAGCCTGTGTAAAGTTGTGTTCAACTAAAGATGAAAATACGCGAGTTTTTAATAAAGCATTACAAGTGGGTGTTTTTTATTCAATTGTTCCAAATCATACATAATTATGCGTCAGCAGAATGGTGTCAAATAGCCTTTTTCATTCCAGGTTGCCTTAGATAGTTTTATCCTTGTACAACATATATTGATAATTCTTGGGCTTGTCTGCCTTTTGCCCGTAAAGTTCCTCTGAGACATGAATGTGCTGTGGTCCACTTTAATAGAGCTAGGAAAGTTTGAATAGCTGACTGATTTAGGGTTTTTTTTGCAAAAAAGTGGATTTAGTGCAAGAACAAACTTTTAAAACTCTCAGAAATTATCTAAGTTGCTTAATTGCAGCTAGGCCTGATATTCTATGCACTTATCCTAAGTCCAAAATATCTATCCTTTTTGATATGAAAATACCTGGTCAACATATGTTCCTGCACCAATATAGTCTCCGTCAGAACCAACCAGCATGGCAAGCCAAGGCCACTCCCCTAAACCATGCATTATCATTCTTAAACTTGGCTTGTTAACTTGTCGTGTTCTAATAAACGTCAAGACAGTTAAACCTATTAGATGACCCAAGGGAATATTTATTATTGGTCAAAATTGGAAAAATGAAACCAAATAATTTTAATTTATCATGTATGAAAAACAATGATGGTTCGTAAAGTAACGGTTAGAATTAGACTGTTTAATATTTTTTTTTCTATGAGACTGCAAGATCTGATATACATTATCTGTGAACATTTGTTTGACCTGGATTTGTAAAGGTGTCTGGTCTCTTAACATCCTTGTAGGCTCTGGAAAACAAATATTTAGAAATCTGTGAAGCAATTATTAAAAAGTTTAAGTTTTAGTATGAGTAAAATTTTATGTAAATAATATGTATGTATGTAAAATTACTTATTTTATATACAATAGTAAAGATTCTTCTGGATAGACAGATAGATAGATAGATTTATAGATAGACAGAAAAATAGATAGATAGATTGATAGATAGATAGATAGATAGATAGATGATAGATAGATAGATAGATAGATAGATAGAAAGATAACTAAATCTTTTATCTTGTAATTGTAAAATATTTTTTTACCTAGGATCTCTTTTTCCACAGTCTAATATGTCACTACGGCCCGAAATTGCAGTTATTTTATCATCCGCACAAATCGCCTGAAATTCACAAGTTACAATTTTTTATTTAGAAAATGTGTTTGAAACTTGTTAACGTTTTGAAAATACTTTAGGTACCATACAATACTCTGTCATACGGTGTAAATATCAAAGGTCTGACCTATGGTTGTGGATTCATGCAAAGAAAAAAGAATATATATTAGAGTGGAATTTACTAGAAATAAGTGTAAAACGGCCATACTGTAGGTGTACTTCACATATTTGTGCTATATAACCTTTTGGGCCATGGAACATCATTTTATACAAAATATATATTCTATTCTCTTTGGATTCAATATATATACGGTGTAAATAAGGTCTAAAAGGCAATATTTGTGTTGGTTCAAGCGACCTCTCATTAAAATAATCGATTTACATTCTTTAGACCTTGTTGATCTGATCAATAACGTAAAAAAACATTGACTATTTTTGAAGTAGAATTGCGCTAGCCACTTTACAGAAAACCATAATAAAAAATAATCAATTTTCACTACAAAGATAATGAGTATTTAATTTATTCTTGCAAATCCTTTTCTTTAATTTGACACATTTTTAGTAAAAAAAAACATTGTAGATTTATAGGGTAGTATTGTGAATCGATTCATGCATGTTACTATTTAGACCTTAAATGAAGGGTCACTTTAATTACGTGTATAGTCCCTTTAAACAGGGTTGACTCACCCTCCCTAAATCGGGTGATGTAAAGGGTGAAGTATAGTCATCATTCACTCCTAATCAAAATTCAAAAATTCAAAAATCAAAAAAACAAAAAATCAAAAAATTTAGTTAAAACGTCCAAGAGTTTTTTGATAAAATGTTAGAGAATAATTTTTTTAGTTAATCTCAGTTAAACCATTTTCTTTTTCAATTCTAGTAACATAAAACATTTTATTGGTAATTTTAAGCAAGACTAATTTGTATGCAAAATTTTAATGACAAAGGAACTGAGTTGTTTTCTAATCCCTATATCTTTGTAACTTAATAGTTTAAACCTTTAATAATTCAAATAGTTCATAGTTTAAAATTTTAAATGTCTACACCATGGGGTTCAATACATGGGGATTAAAAAATCAGAGTTTGGGTTAAGGTACAAGAACTCATTTGCCTTTAATTTAATGAATTTAATTTATCCACATGAAAAATTCTAATTTTCATATATGTGTGAATTGTGAACAAACAAATTTTGAGAACGAACACACTTTTGTGAATGATAATTGAACAAACGATTTTTCAGTGAAAAAATCAATGATAATTTTGAGAATAAATAATTTTTTTTCAAATGGTTGAAAAAAACCAACTCAAAATGGTTCCTGCCGAACGCTTAAAAAAATGAAGAATTATTTCCTAAAGGATTGTATTCGGTTGCAAGACCAATTCTAATTGCAATACTTTCCACTAATCCATCCTCCGCAAAACTACAGCAGGTCTTAAAACCTAAAAAGACTCATTGTTAGAAAAAAATTCCAAATTTAAGGAAATAAAAAATTTAATTAATTAATATGATATTCAAAATGAAACTAAGGAATGAACTAAATTCTATTTAAAATAAAAAAAGACATGAAATTATCCTAAATAATTGGGATTTTTAAATCAAAATTATTACATGAAATAAACAAAATTTTTAGGATATCAAAGATGAGATATTAAACAAAAGATGTTAAAAATTATTGGGAATATTCAAAACATTATTCTTGAACATGAAATATCCAAAATTCTAGGATCTTATAAATTAAATTTTATATTTATGACTATCCTTCTGTAAAAAAGATTTAGAACAATTTTTAAAGAATAAAAATAAACCTCGATCACATTTCTCTAAATCAACTTCATTGTCCTCTGCGCATAGACCAAGACAATCCTAAAAACGTTTATTCATTTTGTAAAAAAAATTGTTATCCTGCATTTAGTTTGAATTTACGAAATTAAAACAATCCTTTTCCTAGTTTTTTGTTTAATTAATAAGAAATTTTTGACCTTAAAAAAAGCCGGGCCTAAGATCCAAGCAAACTGAATTTAAGGCTTTACATAAACAGTCTCTGCTCTGGGATAATACATTGCCATCAATTTTGGTGAGGAACAGCCAATTTGAACGTTCAGGAAACAATTTTTTTGAACAGACAATTTTACCGAACAATCGTTCAGTGAGAAACTAAATATATGGAAAATGAACGATAGTTTTAAGAACAAACAAAATCAACATTTATTAAAGATTAAAGATTAAAAAAGATCAAAATAGGTCGTTCACAAACAATAAACAAACAAAATGTCTCATTACATGGCAAGTACAATTTGCAAGATTGGTAATTTTTTTGATTTTTAAATTATTTCCCCCACATTTGATTTAATAAATTTGTTATGTCATTTTATCAGATTAGTTTGTTTGGAGCATCAAATAAACAAGAATAAGTTAAAAAATATATATTTTGTCTCGTAAAGTAACACAAAAATATAAACATAAATACAAAACAATCCGGGTCCGTCCTAGAAAACGATTTTTGGACCCCCCTCCCCCCCCCCCCTATCAATTTTGTACATGACCACTTTTTCATCAATTTTCAATTAAATTAGTATTTATTTAGGGTAAGGTTAGGTTAAGACACTTTCTGGGCCAAGCGCTGCGGCTAGGACAGGCTAAGGGGCCCAGTGCTGCAGCCTCATGGTCAATTATATCCATGTCCATACATATAAGATTAGTATATATTTAGGGTTAGGTTAGGTTAAGACACTTTCTGGGCCAAGCGCTGCGACTAGGATCGGCTAGGTGGCCAAGTGCTGCGGCTAGCACAGGCTAGGTGGCCAAACGCTGCGGCTAGCACAGGCTATGGGCCCGGCGCTGTGGCCACATGGTCATTTATATCCTTGTCCTACATTTAAGATCCATGTACAAAATTGATAGGAGGGGGGGGGGGTCCAAAAATCGTTCTTTAGGGAATTACCAACAATAGTTTAATTCCTATTTGTTATGAAACTATAAATATAAAAGTTAAAAATCTTACCCCTTCGTTGCTAGCATCAAGCAGACAACTGATCTTAAAAAATCAATCGTTAAAAATTAATCGGAAATCGGAAAATTTATATAAAACACTTTACAATACAGAATTTCATCTAACTTTGATAGAATCTTATACTGCTTTGATAGAAGATCATAACGCTTTGATAGAATCTTATACGGCTTTAATAGAAGGTCATAACGCTTTGATAAAATGTCATCAATCTTTGCTAGAATCTAATAAAACTTAGATGGAATTTCATAAAACTTTGATAGTATCTAGTAAACTTTAGAGAACAAAATGATAGGAATGACTAAAAAATTTTCAAATTTTTGTTTTCTGAAGGGTCACTCAAGTTTTCGCCCCCTTATGAGTAGATGCACATGAAAAATGTTTTTAAACCGATTTTTGTTAAATTTTATTTAAAGTTTTTTTATTTTTATCATTATTATCATTACTTTTTACCTCGGCATCACAGCTAAGCCCATTAATTTTCGATGCCATACCGCCTAGAAAATCAATTATTAAAAAGAATTAACATTCACTTATGTTTTTTGTTATAATCAAAGCTTATATAAACTGAGCTGAAAACTCTAGAATGAGATATCCTTAATCCCGATTACTTTATCCAACTGGACACATTTTTGTTTATCTTCTTAAACTGTTCTTTTGGATACCCATGTACTGGAAGTCTGGAATACGATAAATGCGGGCAAGTTAGTAAATTGTATTGACCCATGAGAGACTTGATCATAAATTCTGACCAATGATCGAGCTCCAAGAAAGTTTCAAGTTCTTAATTTCAAGTTTATGTCGGCCATATTGGAAATATGTGATTAAATTCAAATATCCCAGAAAAATGTTAATTATTTAATTAAATTTGAGGTCGTTTTTTTCAACTAATGTAGTAGGGAATAAATCGGTGAGGAGGTGAAGGCCTCCTTTCGTTTATTAACATGACATCCTGATTGGTTGAATTTTAAACTTCTTTCTCAGATATCGAATGCATCTTAACCTAATCTCGGGTTTAGTAAAACCAGGAGATCAAGCATTGTTCTTGCTATCCACCATTCTAAAGTTTTCAGCTTTGAGTTCTTCCCACAACTGAAATTTTCTATCCCCTGATCGTCTAAACCTTTGATTTTTAAAACTTGGGTTATGTGAAATCATTTATAAATTATAATTAACAAAGGTCACGACATTAATAATTGTGGCGGCTCAGTTCCCTTGCTTCCAGTTTTGTTTTTATCAACAAATCCTGAAATTTTTTAAAGGAAATTTAGCCGATTTTATGTCAAAACAATGATTTCTGCTGGGGGTAGAAAATGTGTTTGCAAGATTTGGATTCGTAAAAAAATCCAAATTTTGAGTGAATGAGTGGCACCGCAGGATCTTTTTATTGATTTAAAAAAAATCAAATTAAAGGGCTAGAAGGTGCCTGTTCTCTCTTTTATGCACTCCCAATTTTCAAGGGGGGGGGGTGTCCCACCTCCCCCCTGAAGCTGTCTCTGGTTTTCATGATATTAAAATAAAATAATCCTAGAATTTCGAAATGTTTTGTTTTATAAAAAATAAATGTTTTCTATATTTTTGTGGTGGTGGGTCAAAACTTTCTAGATCAATTATTTTGAATGATAAATAAAACGATAATTTAAAAAAAACAGAACTATACTTAGTTCTGTTCTAGTCTTAGCACAGAAAACATTGTAATCGTCTTTTTTTACGATAAGTAAATAAGTTTTTTTTTATTTATTTCTTGAATCCTGAACTTGTTAAAACATTGTATTCTGAAGACTATGTACTTCGGCGAGAACTTTTTTTTGTTGATCTCAGGATTAAGCGTTAATCTCTATGTTAATCTCTATTAAGCGTTAATCTCTATGTTAATCTCTATTAAGCGTTAATCTCTATGTTAATCTCTATTAAGCGTTAATCTCTATGTTAATCTCTATTAAGCGTTAATCTCTATGTTAATCTCTATTAAGCGTTAATCTCTATGTTAATCTCTATTAAGCGTTAATCTCATGGATTAATTTAATTCCTCTCCGATATCCTGTGATGGTCAAAACCTTCTTGGATAACTTTAATTGAGGCATGAAACTTTGATTTTCAAATTTTAAATTGCCCACATTGGATGTCGAGATCATACGTTCAAAATTAACGATAATCCACACAAAACTGTTTACATCTGAATTTGAAGAAAGCTAAAGCTTGAATCTATAACATTTGCGCTGCGGCTAGAATAACAAAAAATTACCTGGACTGTTGTTACATGGGGCAGAGTTTTTAATACATTTACAACACTGCTTGGAGTTGGCCTTAATTCAAATAGCAGAGTCAGTTACTAAATTCTAATACATTTAAATTTTAAGGTTGGTTATTATATTCTAACCCATTTATCTTTGCAACCCACAATATACACTTATATCTTATTTCTTTGATATTTAAAACTATGAATTCTTTTAGATCGAATAGTTTAAAATATAAAAGTTGTACAACATCAGGTTGCAATGATAAAGAGATTAAAAAATTTGAGTTTGAGGCATAAAACGTTCGAATTTGGAAGGACACAATAATATTGATGTTTTAACAAAACAAACGTTTTATCAATTTTTTTGTAATTTTTTTACTTGTCTTCTATGTCGGGGGTTGGAGATCACAATTATAGGTAATAAGACACAGAGAAGTAACACTACTTTTCGCATTTTTTTCTGAAAATAATTTCTATCTTCATTTTTTAATCTAAAAAGACCCTCCAGTCAAAGATGACAATTTGCCCTATTTACAACAATACCCTTGAAAGCTAAATCTGATGAAAAATGTGGAAAATAACGTCGTTTCTTTGACTCGAAAAAACCAGAGATGAAATTAAATAGTTTAAATGAACAAAAACATTCATATCTACATTTAAGGCCCACCGGTTTCTTCTATTTGAAATCAACCGTCTATAATTCAACAATTATCTACTTTACGGATTTGTTTATTTTATACTTTTTCATTCAAAATGCATATGCCAACTAAAAAGTATTTTAGAAATAGGCTAACAAATTGTGTTTAATGGGTCAAATTGTGATCGAAAGTCACAGCTTTCTGGAATATTGACAGAACCATTAAATCCACGTGAAGGGTACCGTTGTAAATCGAGCATTGCCAACTCTTTATGGAGATCTTGGACTAAAGGGTTACTTGAAATTAAACTTACAGTTCCTACGGTTAGAAATATAAAGTAATAAGTGAGTGTTCAGTTTCATAGGTTTTTAATAGTTTTTAAAAATATAAAGAAGCACCCTGGACCATCATAGTTGTGTTTACCCTCATCGTTGTGTTTACCCTCATCGTTGTGCTTACCCTCATCGTTGTGTTTACCATCATCGTTGTGTTTACCCTCATTGTTGTGTTTACCATCATCGTTGTGTTTACCATCATCATTGTGTTTACCATCATCATTGTGTTTACCACCATCATTGTGTTTACCATCATCGCTGTGTTTACCATCATCGTTGTGTTTACTATCATCATTGTGTTTACCATCATCATTGTGTTTACCATCATCATTGTGTTTACCATCATCATTGTTTTTACCATCATCGTTGTGTTTACCACCATCATTGTGTTTACCATCATCGCTGTCTTTACCATCATCGTTGTGTTTACTATCATCATTGTGTTTACCATCATCGTTGTGTTTACCATCATCATTGTGTTTACCATCATCATTGTGTTTACCATCATCATTGTTTTTACCATCATCGTTGTGTTTACCATCATCAATGTGTTTACCATCATCGTTGTGTTTACCATCATCGTTGTGTTTACCATCATCGTTGTGCTTACCCTCATCGTTGTGTTTACCATCATCGTTGTGTTTACCCTCATCATTGTGTTTACCATCACCATTGTGTTTACCCTCATCATTGTGTTTACCATCATCATTGTGTTTACCCTCATTGTTGTGTTTACCATCATCGTTGTGCTTACCCTCATCGTTGTGCTTACCATCATCGTTGTGTTTACCCTCATCGTTGTGTTTACCATCATCGTTGTGTTTACCATCATCGTTGTGCTTACCCACATCGTTGTGTTTACCATCATCGTTGTGTTTACCATCATCATTGTGTTTACCATCATCATTGTGTTTACCCTCATCGTTGTGTTTACCATCATCGTTGTGCTTACCCTTATCGTTGTGCTTACCATCATCGTTGTGTTTACCCTCATCGTTGTGCTTACCATCATTGTTGTGTTTACCCTCATCGTTGTGCTTACCCTCATCGTTGTGCTTACCATCATCGTTGTGTTTACCCTCATCGTTTTGCTTACCATCATCGTTGTGTTTACCATCATCGTTGTGCTTACCATCATCGTTGTGCTTACCCACATCATTGTGCTTACCATCATCGTTGTGTTTACCCTCATCGTTGTGTTTACCCTCATCGTTATGTTTAACCTCATCGTTGTGTTTACCCTCATCGTTGTGTTTACTCACATCGTTGTTTTTACCCTCATCGTTGTGTTTTTCTTTTCTAGAAACAAAATACAGTCAAATGCTAATACACTGTCAATTTGTCATGTTAATTAAATGCAAGTATGTATATCAAATTAAAAAAAAAGCATTACAAATTTAAAATTTTTAAATAACGTTTGTACATGTGCTTGGGTCATTGTCAGAGTAAAACTAAAGAGAGGCATTCTACGATAAAATGCTGTATAACTAGCAAAAGCGCATGTCCAAAAAATATAAATTTTTTCTTCAAATTCTAAATGTATTTAAATCTAATTTTATTTCCATAAATGCTTATTTATTCTAAAATATTTATTTTCCATCTTAAAAGAAATTAAAGACGAATTTAGAAAAAGACTTATTCTGCTTACTAATGGCCTTAAGCTGTCGATTTAACTTATTTTCAGCAGAGTTTTTTAACCCTATTCCTGCTGGGGGGGGGGGGTCAATTTGACCCCCCCTGTAGTTTATTTTTACATAACTCAAAAAGTATTGGTCTGAGGCGGTTGAAATTTTCTGACTTTTCCTACATACCCAAAGCCCTCCCTTAAGGCCTAAAACCGGGCTTTAACACTAACTGCCTGAGTCCTAAGGCACACTTCCTGAATGACCGCTTTTTCCTGTAACAAACTAAATCTTTGTTTTGACCCACTTTCACTTGTCAGATTTTGATAAAATTTAGCTTTTTGAAAAGCCTTTGACAAAAGAAAACGAATTGCACAAGTTTTGCGAAAAAAATTGCAAATTTTTTGCAAACAACTTGTCAAAGGAAATTTGCACATTTTTAGTTTGGTTATTTAAAATTTGCATATTTGAAATGGCATGGTCAAGGGCTTTTCAAAAATTTATAATTTTTCATGTTTTGGAAAAAAAAATTTTTTGCAAACATTTTTACTATATAACTGGATTTTGCGATAAAAAATTTAATTTTTGCAAATTTGCAAATTTTTTTGCAGATTCTAAAAGTAGAGCACAAGAGCTTTCCAATGATGTATCATTTGTCATATTTGGACATCAAACATGGGATTTAGAGGGGGGGGTCAAATTGCCCCCCCCCCCCAGCATATCCTGGTTTTCAAGTACCCCACTAGAGATAGTGTTAAACTCTAAAAATATAACGGTCCCAAGTATTCTGACTTAAATATAGTAATATAATGGACTACTTAATGATTTCGCAACGAAAGAAACAAGTTTACAGTTGCAGGGAATCGTGAATTTAAGGAAACAGACAGCATGAATTCCGCACAGTCGTCTGTGAAGTTTCATCCTATGTGGATTGCCCGGTATATTAAAGTTTTCACTAAAAAGAGACCGGTTACTTAGTTAGTTTATTAGTTTCAGCTCATTTGTTTAATCCATCCCATTTAAAGTTTCCATCTACATCAACATCAGAATAATATTAATAATCTTATTATTTTGGGATATGCTTTAAAGCGGTAATATGAGTTTCTAACCATTTATTTTTTGTATAAAGAACCAGTTTTTAGATTAGAGATCTTAAATGGGGAATCACATGCATATACTCAGCAATATTTGGTAGATAATAGAGATAGATAGATAATTCGATAGATAGATAGATAGATAGATAGATAGATAGATAGATAGATAGATAGATAGATAGATAGATAGATAGATAGATAGATAGATAGATAGATAGATAGATAGATAGATAGATAAATAGATAAATGGATTAATAAATAATCAGATTATTAGAGACACTAATATATAGATAAATAATAGATAGATATATTGGTTTATAGATAGTTAACAAGTATTAATGGTCAGAAAGATAGGTAGACTATTATATATCTAGTTTTATCCATGCAATAAATGAGACTAGATAGATATTTTGATAGATAGATATATAGGTAGATAGACTGACGAACAGTCTAAATGCTTGATAAATAGATAGATATTTCATTACAAGAAAAATCTGGTTTGGTCGTAACCACTTCTTAAGTCGACCAGTAATTGAGAATAGAAACATCATCATTATAGATTTTTTTCGGAGTGGGGGGAAAAACATCTAAATATATTAGCTAGTTATGTTAGCAATTTAAAATAACTATATTATTATAAATTAAAAAAAGATTCATCGCAAACTCAAATTTTTAATCTTCAGATATATTTTTAGGGATATATCTGACATGCTTGGTTTCAGAAATATATCTGATATGCTTGGTTTAAGGGATATATCTGAAATGCTTGGTTTCAGGGATATATCTGATATGCTTGGTTTCAGAAATATATCTGATATGCCTGGTTTAAGAGATATATCTGATATGCTTGGTTTCAGGGATAAATCTGATATGCTTGGTTTCAGGGATATATCTGACATGCTTGGTCAGTCAAAGGTGTAAACGGTACCGTCGTAGATAGAGGATATGACCCTCTTATAGTGGGACCACTGAACATTACGCTTACAGTCCCTGAAATACAATATTTAATAAATTAATTAATAAATGCTTATTTTATTAGTCGTACACCAATAAAGGAGAAGCATGATGAAGAAAGCAAAGATAATGATGATGATGATGATGATGAGAATGAAACAAGAAGAAAACGCGCAATTGCAGAGAATGAAGACGACACGGTGACTACAGAATCTGTTATCGTGGAACGGGCCGCGCATTTTGGAGACAGACAACCTTTTGCTGGGTAAGTTTTTATCTATCTATCTATCTATCTATCTATCTATCTATCTATCTATCTATCTATCTATCTATCTATCTATCTATCTATCTATCTATATATCTATCTATCTATCTATCTATCTATCTATCTATCTATCTATCTANGTTGCAATCAACTTAATTGAAATCTTCTTTGTTGCAATCAACTTAATTGAAATCTTCTTTGTTGCAATCAACTTAATTGAAATCTTCTTTGTTACAATCAACTTAATTGAAATCAAATTAATTTTAATTTCATCAAAGTTGCAATGAACCTAGTTTCAATAAACTAAATTACAATAAATTTATTTATAATTATGATTATAATTTTATATTTTTTGTTAAATATTGAAACTGACTGTTCACTTATTTGAGGGCAACTAATGAGCCTATTAGAATTCATTGGTATTAGTCTCACTTTCCTAAGATATCTATGACCGGAGAAAAAGCCGATTTATTGTTTAAAAGGTATCATACCTTTATCATTCTTTATGATAAATCGACTTTGTCTTTGAAAAGTAAGACCAATACTAATGAATAGCTAATATATGCTATTTAGTTTACCCTCAAATTACCTAAATAAGTGAACGGCCCCTTTAAGGTTCCCAAAACAAGCGTTAAAACTGTTTGTGTTAATTGAAATCTTCTTTGTTGCAATCAACTTAATTGTGATGTTATTGAAGAAACAAAAATTGAGCAAAAATGTGATTTAACCCAGGTTGGTTGCTACTTGCTAGGGTTTTAAAAACCTGAACTTTTTTTTCCATAGAATTAATTTAGTTTTACCTTTTTTTGATGATGATTGTTGTTACTTGTTTTGGTTCGTTTTTTAGAAACTTTTGAATTATTTTTGGTCGGTTTTTGCAATGTTATAATTAGGTCTGGACATGTTCCGACTTTTTTTAATCGTTCCGTTCCGTTCTAGCAAGAGGGCCTTTAGCTAGATCGTTCCGTTCTTTTGCCTTTTTTTTCAATCGTTCCGTTCTCTTTCCGTTCTGTCCCGTTCCGTTCTGAGTAGAAGAACGGTCATTCCGGTTCCATTCCGCGTTCTTGGTTTTCTTAGACGAAGAACGGTTCCATCTTCTTGTTCTGTTCTTAGTCAAGAACGTTTCCATCCCATGGGCGGAATTTGTAAACAAGAATAGATGCATCAGTGTTTGTTTAGGATTAAAGCATTTAAATTTGATAATTTTGATAATTCACATAATAGTTTCCTTTGACCGGAAAATTTCATTGGTTTTTTTTTTATGTGAAATATGGATCCCATGTCAGGTTTCGACATCCGTCTTGTGTTTACATTACCGCCCAGAGACAGTACACAGCAGTACAAAAGATGCGTACACCTCTAAAATAACTTTCCTTGCATTAACCTTGGGTTTTTGCATATATTTTCTGTAAGTTTATAAGTTTGTACAGTATATACTAGCTGGAGTATACACCAGCTGGATTATATACTAGCTGGAGCCTGGAGTATATACTAGCTGGAGTATTAGCTGGAGTATATACTAGCTGGTGTACTAGCTGGTGTACTAGCTGGTGTATTAGCTGGAGTATATACTAGCTGGAGTATAAACTAACTGGAGTATATACTAGCTGGAGTATATACTAGCTGGAGTATATACTAGCTGGAGTATATACTAGCTGGAGTATATACTGCTGGAGTATATACTAGCTGGAGTATTTACAAGCTGGAGTATAAACTAGCTGGAGTATATACTAGCTGGAGGATATACTAGCTGGAGTATATACTAGCTGGAGTATATACTAGCTGGTGTACTAACTGAAGTATATATTAGCTGGAGTATATACTAGCTGGAGTATATACTAGCTGAAGTATATACTAGCTGGAGTATGTACTAGCTGGAGTATATACTAGCTGGAGTATATATGTAACAATCTAGGTCCCGAGAGTAATCTCAATACTTGTTTCTAACTCGAATTATCCAGTCAATCCTGACTCTATCCTTAGCCAATCCTGGCAGTACACGTCCTTCTAAAACAACGGTTGTTAATTCGATACTAATTTATTTAGTAGCCGGTCAAGGTCAATCAAACACAGATAATAAAGATCGGTGAACTATATACACTCCTCCAGAATTTATTACATATACTAGCTGGAGTATATACTAGCTGGAGTATTTACAAGCTGGAGTGTGCGGCGTTGCCTGTAAAATTTTTAAAAAAATTGAATTTTGAGGAATAAATTTTAAAAAAAAATTCGATTCGAAGAATTTGCTCAAAAGAAATAAAGAAATGCACGTTTTACAGCTTTTAATTTTTAATTCAAATTTTTTGTTTGATTTTAGAAGTCTCTGGCTTCAAGGAATCAGTGTAAAACCAACATAAGGTAAAATATGACATTTTAATTTTTCAGTTTGGTTGGTTTAAATCACGCCCATTAAATTAAGAATGGGAAATGAGTCTTTGGCACAAACCCAATTTTTTTATCCTTTTATCTTTGCAAACTTAAACTACGTAAGTTTCATCAGAATTAATAATTTAAAATGTCAAAGGTCTACAACATCGGGATGCAAAAAAATCAGATTTTGTGGCGAAAAAAACTCTATTCTCTTCTGTGTTTTGTTGTTTACAATTAAATTCATGTAAAAAAAGGAAATGAACATGAAAATCTAGAGAAGATAGAAAACAAGCAATTGATCTAGTCTGATAAATTTTAAATTGAGCATAATCTTTGTTTATACTTTGCGTGTCTGTTTGTTTGTTTCTATCCAATGCACGTTAAAACTGCTTTAACCGATTTAAGTACGACCTTTTGGCATCATTTTATCTTACATTTATAGCCCCCTGCAGTTGTAAACACGGAAAATCATGCACTATATCTTACCAGGCACAAACCCAACTTCAACCTTTAGATTGTTATGTTGACCCTGCAAAGATGGCGGACGTAATAAAGTCCAGAATTACTTACCCAACAACTAGTCGCCATCGGCACATAAAAACGTTAAAATGTTTTCTGGGGAGTTTCATTCAAGACAGCTTAACCTTTTTAGGGGTAGAGCTATATGTGTTTCATAGAGTAATTATAAAAAATACTTCTAAAAACACTAATGCGCTCAGCTCATCCTTTATGGGGTAGATTTATATCTGTTTCATAGACTAATCAAAAAAAGACTTCCACTATGGACATCCTATACATACTCGTACTGGCACAGTATTCTATAATTCAGTTCTGCCTCTAAGATTCTAATGCCACTTGTTCTGGGATTGTAACACAAAGATTTATTAAACTTTTAAACGTATTGATATTTATAATTGATTAATAATTTGTATTTAAAAAAATAACAAAATTTCATTAATTTAATCTCTATGACTTGTTCAGATCTGTCGACAGAGAAGAGTGTACAGAGGTCACAGTAAACAATCCTAAACAAGTTTGTACGCAAATACCAAAACCGGTTAAAGAGGTAAAAATCCACGAAACCATTTTTGAAAAATTAAATTCAACTAAAAATAGTAAACAGACATTAAGAATTAACAGTCCAGTCGTCTTTGAAGTCTCATTCTTCTGTCCAGGTTGTCTGTGAGGCTATGAATTTATTTTGGTTAAGGGGTGTGGGCCTGGTGAGCCGAAGCTCACCAGTACAAATAAAATGATACATTAATAAACCTATTTCCTGTTTGTTATTGAGGTCTTTCTATCATTTTGTTTTGCTCAAGATCGGTTAAAAGTCATCATTAAGTGTTAGGAATTAGTTTTATATCTATATATATAAGAAAATAAGTATTCAAAACATGAGTTTAAGTTTTACTGTATCGGCATTATGTTTCATGCTATTCATTCTTCAGGATATATAAAATATATTGAACTGGAGATCTATATTTATCTATATATATATATCCAGGTTGTCTGTGAGACTCTCAATAAACCTATTGAACTGGAGGAGATCTGTATAGATATTGATATCCAACTTCCAAGGGAGGAATGCCGGAAAGAATCTAGAGAAGAGTGCAGGTATATATCAATACAAAAAAAACTACTTTCGGTTTCATTTTTTGATTTCTACAAAGCTTTCAAACAGCATGGATCCACCCATACATGGAAACAAAAAGAAGCTGTCAATTAACAGCTTCTATATTTGGTTTCTTGTATTGATATATACGACGACGACTGCAGTAAAGTTAATATTATCACTTCAAGTGACCGTCAAGTTACTGCATTAAATTACTGCCCAATTTACATTAGTACCCTTAATTAAGACCTGAATAGTAATATACTCCAGACTCTCAGACCCCATTCACGTTTCTTTGGAGATAATTTTAAAATTTTAGGTCTGAAGCTGTTCAAATTTTTTGACATGCCCCTCACTTTAGGCACAAAGCGGGGCTTTTATTACTATATGCCTGAGTCCTCAGGCTTGCTGCCTGAATGCCTTATTTTACCTTTGTCGGCTTAAATCTATATTTAGACCTATTTCCGGCCATTGGATTTCGACTTCTATAATAGCTCTTTAAAATGCCTGGAACAAAAGGAAGCCTATTGCACAATTTTTGCGAAGAAATTTTGCATGGATTCTTGCACAATTTTAGTTTTCATTGTATACAAATTAAGTTTTTCAAAATTTTGAAGATGCTTATATTTATGATTTGGCCGGCAACGAACGGTTGCAAGGATCAATGGATTTTAGCTAATGGACCTGTACAATCGTCTTTGAAGTCTTATCTTTTGTGATTTCAGATTTGAACCAGTTAAAGGGACCGTTCAGCGTTGTGAACCGACTGTGAGGTAAATCTAATTTTTCAAACTTTATTACTAAATATTATTAACAATAAAAATCAGTTAAAATAAGTTCTTCGAAGGCCAGGACGAATTCTGCATCTGAGTATTGATGACGAAGATTTCTTTTTTACTTCCTTAAAATTGACGGCTTAGCTTCTGTAATCTACCCAATGAAAGATTTTGAAGTTCAGCTGAACAACTACTTGAAGTCTAAATGAGAAATAATAGCAAAGATATCTTTGTTTTTGTTCAAAAAGTTATCTATAAATTGATATTTTCAAATTTCGCTTCAAATAAATAAAGTCGCCCAAGTTCAGAGTAAAAAACGACTATTAGTACAATTAAATGGTTCTCTGGCAATTTTCGTACTTAGAATATTGTTTTGTTTTGTTGTGAAATCCTCCAAATTGTTTAGAGAGGAATGCCGCGAAGAATTAAAGGATGAGTGTACACAAGAATGTACAGAAACATGTGAAGCAGAAGACAGGGATGGGGCAACTTTAACATCATCAAAGAACAAAATGATTTTATGAAACAAAAAAATAGAAATCAACTTTGAAAATCTTTGTGTTTTTTCATACTTACCCTCCAAGGATGAAACGTCAAAGACGACTTACAGAATTTTTACTGTCTGCTCCCATATATTCATGATTTGCTGCAACTTAAAATAAATTGAAATTGCCCGATGCAGAAAGATGTGTATGACCATCCCTCAGCAACAGTGTGAAGAGAAGATCACCCAGCAATGCGAAAATATTCCAAGGTCACATTGTTAAATTTTAATCAATCAATCAATTAGTGAAATTATTAACAGATAAACATTTTATTTCAAAACTCAATTGATCCCTTAAGTGATCATCGTCCACTGGACCATAACCAAGAATCATAATGTTCCGGGGAAAACACAAGCTTAGCCTCAGCAGCATTGTGTTTGTTTTTGCAGTACACTTTGTTTGTAAACAATGCAATTTCCAGGAATACTCCTTGGTCTTGACTAATGTTTTTTAGGGAGGAATGTAAAACAGTTCCTCGAGAGGAATGTAGAGACGTTGTGGCAAAATCTAAACCTGGAGAATGTCGCCTTAACACTAGGCTGGACTGTACAGATACACCCAGGTATAAATGTCGTCTTAATACAAGGCTGGGCTGAACAGATACACCCAGATATTAATTTCGTCTTAGTGCAAGGCTGGACTGTATAGATACCCAGGTATAAATTTCGTCTTAACACTAGGCTGGACTGTACAGATACACCCCGGTATAAATGTCGTCTTAACACTAGGCTGGACTGTACAGATACACCCCGGTATAAATGTCGTCTTAACACTAGGCTGGACTGTACAGATACACCCCCGTATAAATGTCGTCTTAACACTAGGCTGGACTGTACAGATACACCCCGGTATAAATGTCGTCTTAACACTAGGCTGGACTGTTCAGATACACCCCGGTATAAACGTCGTCTTAACACAAGGCTGGACTGTAAAGATACACCCAGGTATAAATGTCGTCTTAACACTAGGCTGAACTGTACAGATACACCCAGGTTCAAATGTCGTCTTAATACAAGGCTGGACTGTACGGTGCTATTTCATTTGAACTACTGCCGTTTGAACTATGGCTCATTTGAACTATTGTTCATTTCAACTACTGCACGTGGGACCACGTGAGTAGTTGAAATGAACAATAGTTCAAACGAGTAAATATATTACTCATTTAAACTATTTTTTAGTTCATTAGAACTATTTTCATTTGAACTATTAAAATATTATTAATGAAATAAACCAAAAATAGTTCAAATGAACATTTAGAAAAATAGTTCAAATGAGTAAGAAATGCGTTGATTTAAACTACAGGATATGACGTCATGTCAGTAGTTCAAATGAACAATAGTTCAAACGAGCAATAGTTCAAACGTACCATAGTTCAAACGGCAGTAGTTCAAATGCGGATCCACCGGACTGTACAGATAAACCCAGGTATAAATGTTGTCTTAATACAAGGCTTGACTGTACAGATAGCCCCAGGTATAAATTTTGTCTTAATACAAGGCTGGACTGTACAGATAAACCCAGGTATAAATGTATTGTTTTAATACAAGGCTTGACTTACAGAAACACCCAGGTAACTTGAATCTGTATTCGCTCATAAATATACATAAGCTATAGCTGGACAAACTGCTGGGCCAAATTGACTAAACATGTTTTAAGGAAACACATGGGTACCGAAGGGTATAATAAAGCTCTTTGAAAACTTATATGTATATTTATGTCAGCTATAGCTGGCAAACGGTTGGACCGAATGGGCTGACATTCTTTTAAGGAACTCTGGGGAAACAAAATTCGAAATGTTTCAAAAATGGATTTTTTTGATTTGATTTTTTCAAATTTTATCTTATTCGAGAATTTTTTTCAAGTGTTTATAAACTCTCTCGGGCAACGCCGGGCACCGCAACAACTAGTATATTATATTTGTAAACAGGGAACGATGCGGAAAAACCTTTACTTCTGAATGCAAGAAGGTTCCACAAAAAAAGTGCAATGACAGGTTTGTTGCTAGAACTTTTATGTTTTTAACTCCAATGGAACGAAATTTTAAAAACTTTGAGATAAAAGTAATAATGCCAATGTCAATAGATTTAAATTAACGTCTAATACATTCGGAGTTTTTAAATTATAAACATATTTAATAATACTACTTTACAGCTGGAAGTTTTTAATTTCCCAAAAAGGTATTTGCCCACAATTTTATCGTCTTTTGAGATGAAAATGAACGAATATTTTTATATGAAAACTTCGCAGAGCGTGTTGTTATTTTACTTGATTGTCCCTCTGTGGGGGAATCATGAGTAATGTTGATCAACGGCGGTAAAGTAAATAACATCCCCGCATGTTCATCTGAAAAGCCGCGAACAAAACTACTTTTTCAGTAAATTAAAAATGTTACTTAACCACGGTTTTTCTTGACTTGAAAACATTTGTTTTGTAGGACAAATTGGGAACCATCGGTAAAGTAAATTCCTCTAAAGTAGTTGTAAATTATTATTTGTATTTTACAGGAAAAGTGAAAACTGTGCAATGGAGTGTGAACCGGTTTTCTGGTGTAAACAGTGTAAATAAACAAAGTGAAATGTAAACAAAAAACTTTAAAAATCAAATCAAAACATTTAAATCTTAAATTCTTGCCAAGCTATTTTACCCCCATTTAAAACATTTTAAACAAATATTGAAAACTTCAAATCAAAATGAAAGGAATTGAGTTTTTGCCACAAACTAAAATGTTCAAATCCATATATGTTTACAACCTAATGGTGTAAACCTTTGATATTTCAAACTCAAAATAGTTTATACTTTGAAATATCTAAGGTTGCTAAGATAAAGGGATTAGAAAATCAGAAATTGTGGCAAAGGCTCAATTCCTTTGAATTTAATATTTTATCCCTTGAAATATTCAATGTGCAATAAATATCTAAAGACATAACAAAAATGTTGTGATGTAACTAATGTGCAATACTCCTTTGCTTTACAGATAACATAACATACAGTGGTCAGTGATTATATCAATACAATAAAGACGACTTTTTTGATTAAGTTTAGATAGTTAATAGGTTATTTTCGAATTAAAAGTTTGCAAGTAATTAAAAACAAGTTTCTAAGATTGCCAACTTCTCTATGTTTCCATGTTTACAAGTATCCATGCTGTTTAAAAGCTTGATATAAATCAAAATTTGAATCAAAATTTGTCTTCATTGTATTGATATAAGCGCCGACAACTGTACAATAGTACAATGTAAATAATGTAATCTTAATTCTTTAAGAAAGAAACTAACTTTGTGTTCTGTTCATTTTATACTTGGCAACCCTGACACGTAAATTTAATTGTTTCAAAAATACTGCTCAACAAATAATGTTAAAAATCTGTCACAGAAGGGTTGCCTAATCGCCTATTGTTTCAAATTTTTCAGTACGATGCGATACAAGATATTTTGAATTATTATTATCTATTTATTTAATTATTTATTTATTTGTATTTATTTGTAAATAAAGTTGACAAAAACTACTTTTATAGACCATTTTTTTCCTATATATTTTTCTAAATTAGATATTTTACATTATTCCTTTAAAAACATGTTTCCAACCAAAATTTGAGTTATTTAAAAAAATCAGAATTACATTTTTGGACTTTGATTTTTTTGCCTCGTAAGTTTTAACACGGCATGTTGGATTGCTTCAAATCAGACAAAAATTAAAATTGAGAAAGATATCGTCGTTTTCCCAACTCAAAAAGTATTTTATTAGCATTATTTCCTCCATTGTCTAAATGCAGCAAAAATTAACCTGTCGCACATACCACACTTTAACTTCAGAGGGTTACTTCAAATTGCATTCACAATCCCTTTATATATTGTTTTAAAATCTTTGTAAAAACTCTGCAATAAGTTGCGGCCATTCTACAACTCCAGCTTCATAGGATTCCGATATAAATAGCTGAACATCGCTGCTGATGTTTACCAGAGCCCTAAACAAGGAGAATATGGAAATATGACGACAAACTGCCACCAATCTGGTTTGCTATGCTCAGGCGAAACTAATTTTTAAGAGGGGGTGGGCAACAACTTTTGTGGTACAAAATCAAATTTTTTTTTATTTTCACCATCCTCCCCCTGTTTTTGGCCTGTCATTTTCAATTTTTTACCTATGTATTGGTGGATTACAGCATGATTTTAACTTAAATTTAACCATTTCATTACAATTTTAAAAATAAAAGACAATTTTAAAACACTCTCTTATATTTATCACTGAAATTTGATTGAACAAAAAACATTAAAAGGAGTGACCGGAAATGTATGGTAGTTGAACTAAGAATGTAATATTGTGGAGAATTGTTTTAGGAATGATTTGAGACCTTAGAGCCGTTATTGCAGTGCATATTTGTTCAGCAAGAAGGAAGCAAATTCAATCTTTATAATCCTCTTAGATTGTTAATTTTTGAGGGATAATTTTGAGAATCGGTTAATAAAAAAATTTAGATAACGACAACGAAAAATGTAGTAACAATGCTACAGTAAACTAATTCGATGTTTAGGAACAGGTTGAGAAAATAACAATCGAAAATAATTAATTCATTTACTGGTGTCTGTAATGTCTCATTATTCCCAAATATTTTCTATAGATTTCCTGGAATTTTTATCAAAAAGACTACATTTAAGGAATTTAAAGAAATCTGGGAAACATTCATAAAGAATGGATAATTTTGAACGTCGACTTTGCGCTCAAACTTAGTAGTTATACATCATTAAAACGTTTTATATGTCTCAAATGAATCCAAATCTATCCTAGTTCAACTCCCTTTAAAAAGTATTAAAGTCACGAAAAAAGATTAATCGTTTAATAGTTTGAAAAGAAGACGACATATGGGGACAGGATTGGTTGGATCTCACCTAGCAGTAGAGACAGGATGGGTTGGATCTCTAGTACTCGCCTAGCAGTAGAGACAGGATGGGTTGGATCTCTAGTACTCACCTAGCAGTGGAGACAGGATAGGTTGGATCTCTAGTACTCACCTAGCAGTGGAGACAGAATGGGTTGGATCTCTAGTAGACTTACCTAGCAGTGGAGACAGGATGGGTTGGATCTCCTTCAGCTGTTAGAATTAGGACAGGAATATCAAGAACCTTAAAAGGACCAATTATGTAATGTGACTGATTCACAAGGATACCCTTTAAACCTTGATCTGGGTAAAACTATGGTAAATAGAACCGCTTCTAAAAAGAAATAAATGACTTGAGTCTTTGTCACAAACTTATTTCTTTGATCTAACAGAGATATCTATGATCTTAGACATTGGGTTGTAAAGATACAGGTATTAGAAAATCGATTGAAAAGCTAGTTTATATATTATTGATGAGGTAATTGTTTAAAGGGTATTAGCCATGTATGATGTAAACTCTGTTGAAACACGAAATTTGTATTATGTCTCTCGTCGTTTTTTCTTTCTTTTAATTATAAATGAGAAATTGAGTTCCATAACCTGGTTGAGAGTAGATAGATGAGGAAGATCTGAAAATGCAGATCCAAGAAGCACATTGTGATACAAACCATCAGGGTTAGACTCGTACAACTCTCTAGATAGACAAGATCAAGGTTGTATAATAAGGTTAGTTACTCTTGATGTGCTCCAATGTACGGAAAATGTCGTCTCCTAAGATAGATAAATATCCAATATGACGTCACTCTTGCATCTTTAATCATTGATTTCATATTGCGTATTTTCCATACATTGGAGGGCATCGAGAGTATCTAACCTAATTATACAACCTTGTACAAGATACAGTTAAAACCAGAAAATGAATGCAATTTTTGTTCTTTCTTTTTCTTTTTCTTTTAGTTGTCTGAATCCTACCTAGCTGCCTGAATCCTACCTAGCTGCCTGAATCCTACCTAGCTGCCTGAATCCTACCTAGCTGCCTGAATCCTACCTAGCTGCCTGAATCCTACCTAGCTGCCTGAATGAGCTGTGGCTTCCTGTCTAATCTCTCTTTCCAAGCAGTTGGTGGACGAACAAGTATAAGACCAGAGACCAGACCTTTCTAAAAAAGTGATGGCAGGAATTAATTTCTTTAAGATTGCTCATACTGGACAAATACATTAGTAACCGCGCCTTATCAAATGATTTTTCCATATAAAACATTATTGGAAAACACATTTTTTTTCTTAGGTTAGGATGATTCTTTCAAAAATTTTAAATGTAGTTTTTGTCAGTAAAAGTTCTATATAAAAATTTCTAAGATTTTTTTACTACATTTTATGCAAAAATGTTGTTCTTTAATATATCAACATGCAGTTATACATTTTATCTTGAAAACAGGAAATAATATTTACATTTTGTAAAGCTGCATAGAGCGCTGAAGCTGAGCCCATGCTACTGCCACCGAGAACTGGTTTCTCCAGGTAAAATCCATTAGATACGGCGATCATATCTCCAGCAAGATATGGCCAAGAGAACTATAACAAATTTTTCATTATGCATTTGTTACGCGAGCCATGCTGCGTATAGAAAGTCTGTTTGTCGCCCCTGTGTATTTCTGAGTTC